CCCTATACCCCTGTGTAGCCTTAGACCTCCCGACGACTAGAAGGGACTCAAAAAAAGAAAAAGAAACAATATATAAAATGGGTTTTAAGGAGGTGATGCAAATGAAAATTGGGGTTTTTTATTTATTTTATTTTTTATTTTTAAAATTTTTAAAAATATATTATTTGAATTTTATGTTTTTTTTTCAGTTATTATTGTCTTCAGTTGTAAAGATTGAAATGATAGAACAATAAATTATCTATAAGAATTAGTTAGAATATATTTTAATGAGTATATAAAAATAGAACAGTAAAATATATCAAGCTTTCTTTAATGTGAAGTTGAATAGAGATAAATAGAGCAATAAAATATATCAAGCTTTCTTTAATGTGAAGTTCGATAGAGATAAGGGTGTGTTGAAAAAGTGGTATGCCGAGAATAGAGAGAGATAACGTTATTTTGGTGTAGGTTTTTATTTAGGACAAGGTTTTTATGCTTCCCTTAGTTCATAAAACTTATGTACTTTTCCTATAAAACCTTTTATTTTGAATGGACGGCTAATATGGCCACAATCATAGTGTCATGTCTCTATACTATTTTATTTTAAATTATTTTACAAATTATTTTGACACCAAATTTTGGGACTCCACTCCTCTCTTAAAACTCGCACTTACAAAAAATATTTTAAAAAATATCCCAATAAAATAAAATAAAATAACCAAAATACTCCTAAAAGTTTCAAGGGGTATTTTGGTTATTATACTTTATCAATTTTTAATATTTCTTTTAGGTGCGTCCCATTGAGAAGATGACACATATCAAATTGCATTTTCATACAATTTGTGAAAAAACACTTTTGAGGCGTCAGATCTAGATCAAATGGTTAGTGGCTCACTCAATCTAAATTGGACGGCTCGATGGAGTGGGAAGTATATATCTTCTAATGTTGTAGGGAAGGTATAGAAACTTTTCAATTTTATTTATTTTATTTTATAAGTGTATTTAAATGAAAGATGTCCCCTCTTTATAAAATAAAGATTATTGGAATTGAGTAAAAAATCAAGTCCACGGCAGACCCAAAAAGAGGGTATTATCTATCGACCCTTTATTATTTTTATATTTGTTATTCTGGTTATTATATTTTCCTTGCATCATGAAGAAACTAGTCGAGACCAATATTATCCTGGAACTTGTTTAAAACACTTGATAGAACTAAAAAGTTTCCTGTCAATGCGATGGACATCATGACCTGTATGCTGAAATTATCAAACATATTATACTTGCTGGAGACTTGTACTTTTATACACCTTACCTGAAAGAGAAGAATAAACATTATTTTCCTTGGACATAAAATTTGTGCAAATTTTAAATAAGTAAAATAGTCAAAGCTTACATATAAAGTTTGGAAAAATATTTTATTTTAAATTGAAATCAAGCATAATTTATTCTCACTTCATTTTTAAAATTGGCATAATTGATGGTTATAAAATATAAAGACCCTAATTTAGCAATTATGGGGAAAAAAAAAGAAGAAAAAGAGGCACATCACATTTTTTTTTATTGAAAATAACAAGTAAGAAAACCTATATAAAATGAGAAATGGTTTCAGGTCACCATGCTAATATAATATAATAAAACCACACTCTAGAAAATCATGTTTTTTATATTTGTATGATCCAAACTTTTGCACACATATTCTCTTCATCTCAATAATCAACCTCAAAAAAAGAAAATATATATTTTGCACCCTATATATGGACAAAATGAGTCCTTTCTACCAATGAATCTAAACCGTCCATTTGATTAATTTCAAGATCTAAGCCTTTATGAATTCAAAATCAAATTTTTTTTTTTTAACGTTGTTAATCTAATGATAATAAAGTTATCTAAAAAATTTGGAAAGACAAAAAATCATATCCTAAAGCCTAGATCTAAGTATCTCATCAAAATAAACAATCTCTTTTAATTGGGCTAAAAAACACTTTGTAGATTGTGTTTTCAAATTATTATTTTATTTATTTATTTTATTTTATTTTTATTTCTTTGTGATTGTTCGTTAGAATGAAAATAGTGTATATTTTAAAATATGGGTTAAACAAAAGGTCTTATCATTAACTTTTGAATATTTTTTCATTATATTACTGCACAACTGTTGCATGAAATCACTCCCCAAAATGTTTATATATATGCAAGGAAGTATTACTTAATGATAATTTCTATGTGAAAATGAATTATAGCATACCGATTTTAAGCTGGCAATCTTTCTAAAAGAATAAAAATCTCTGTGTATGAGTTCAAAAGTTAAGAAAGGACTTGAAATATGAAACTAGAGAAATTCAAACGAATTAGGAATCTATATTCCTCAGCGAACCTTATTTCTCAATAATTCTACTTTGAAAAATATTTTCTAACTTCAACCCAAAAATAATAATTCTGCTATATTAGAAGAAAAACACTATTCAACTATTGAATTCCAAGTCATTCTCGGCCCCTCAAAATATATAATCAATGGCGATAAGTTTCCGTTTTCAAATCTTGAGTAGTATCCGTCTTTCTTTGATCCTGAATAATTTGTCTTTTAAGAAAATAAGAAAAATAAGAAAATCCTATCTCTTTCTAAGAAAAAACCAGAGTTTTTGGGCTCATTACCAGGATAACAAAGATATATATAATAGGGCTGCAAGAAAAACGAAGGATGAGGCTGTAAACAATCAAATTAAAGTGCACTTCAAAAATTTACTAAAAAGATTGTTTCGATGCCCAAAAATCCTCAAATCGATCATCTTGACCTCAAGATGTATGGACATGAGAAAAACAAGATTTAAAATTTTGAAAATAATGCATCATATAACGTATTTTTTGGACGATTAATTTTCAAGTGTTAACAGGTCAGCTTGATCTTCACTATTTTTCAAGCTTTAAATTTTATTATGGACGTGGTTTCTATAAGGTTGTAACCTTAAACAATCCAATTAAGAGGCACCTCCAAATTTTATCATAACATGTAATTTTATCGTAAAAAATTCTCAAGATTATCTTAAAATCTATTTTCATATCTAATTAAGAAATTTTAAATTAAAAATAGTTAAAATCAAGTAGATCTATAAACATATGAAAATCTTCAAATAGACAATTTAGATAATGTGTTGCAAGATGCACCATTTATGTGATTCAAAATTTTTTTTTTGGTGTCATATTCATGCATCTCAATGTCAAGATGATCAATTAAAATGTTTTGCATCTCAATGTCGAGATGATCAATTCGAGGGTTTTTCAACGTTAAAATAGTTTTTTAAGGTGCAAGGTTTTGCATCTCAATGTCGAGATGATCGGTTAGAGGGTTTTTCAACGTTAAAATAGTTTTTTAAGGTGCATATGTAATTCTACATTTTTAATGTTGTAACCAGGGTTTTAAAAAACGTTGAGTCGGGAATCGCCATCGGACGAGCCGGTTTTGCACATAAAACGGGAATCGCCCGTGTCCAGAGAGAACCGGGCGATTCCCAATAGTAGACTCGCGATTCCGCCCGAGTTAGACCGAGTCACCCGGAAGAACACGGGCTGCACAATGTTCTACACGGGATTTCGATTTTTTTTATCATTTTGTGATCGATTTTCAACTTTTTCAGCCTTATGAACGAATCTTACAGGCTTTAATTCAAATTTCGAATCATTTTCACTCAATAAAAGGAATTAAAACCACCGTTTTTTATCAACAAATTTGGATCGAATAGTGAGTTTTAGGGTTTCCGCCATTTCAGTGATTTTAATCGAAGTAAAGCTTCATTTTTTGTAAAATTTCAGGCTGAGTGATTGTAAGAGTGTTGGTCATAATTTTGTGTTTATAATTTGTGATTATCTTGGAGGAATACATATCAATTTTGAGTTTGAAGACACGGATGCACGAAGAACAGGTAAAAACTCTGTTTTTTTTTTTTCCGCCACGCGATCAAATCCAGTCAATATTTTACAAATCATGTATTAAATTTATAGGGTTTTGATTCTTTGTAGTGTTGTTTATCATTAGATATATTCAATTTGATTATATTTATTCAATTTGAGTTGGATTTTGTAGAAAATAAGAGTGATGTCTGTTAAAAAAAAATGAATTGTTTTTTTTGTTTTTTTTCCACCATTTTCACAATTTCAGTAAATATTTTGTAAATAATGTGTTAAATTTATAGGGTTTTGATTCGTTATAGTGTTGTTTATCATCTCATGTATTCAATTTTATCTGATTTATTCAATTTGAGATTGAATGACTGAAGTCTGTGAAGAACTGCGCTTTCTTTTTTTTTTCCTCAATTCAATCGATTTATTTAATATTTTGATAATAATGTGTTAATATTATAGGGCTTTGATTGCTTATAGTGTTGTTTATCAAAACATGTATTAAATTTGATGTAATTTATTCGATTTGAGGTGGATTTTTGAGTTGGAATAACTAATGTTAGGTTGGTCTGTGAAGAACTGGGTTTTTTTTTTCATTATCAATTTTTTTGAGAAATCGTGATTTTTAGAAAAATTGTTTTTGATTATCATGAGGAATTAAACAATATTTTTAATTTGTATTGTTAAATTTCTAGTTCAAAAAATTGCATGTTGATAGATTATTTATGCAAAAAAATACATGTTATTATATTTTTAATGCAAAACTGTATTTTTTAATTTGTTGTTAATGCAAAAGAATACATTAACAAATACATGCTGTTAAACTGTATTATATTTTTAATGCAGTTTTGTATTAAAAAAGTATTTTTAATTTTTTAAATTTTTAATACAAAAAATACATGTTGTTAAACTGTATTATCATGAGGAATTAAAGTGAATATCATTGTAAAAAAATCGTGGCATGTTGTTATATTTTTAATGCAAAACTGTATTTTTTAATTTATTGTTAATTCAAAAAAATATATTAACAAATACATGTTGTTAAACTGTATTATATTTTTAATGCAGTTTTGCATTAAAAAAGTTTTTTTAATTTTTAAAATTTTTAATGCAAAAAATACATGTTGTTAAACTGCATTATCATGAGGAATTAAAGTGAATATCATTGTAAAATATCATGTATGATAATTATATTAGCTTGCAATTAACAATTTTATTATTAATTTTTTAATACAAAAAATGTATGTTCTTGATAATTGAGTTGTAGACATGTTTGGAGCTTGCTTTTTTTATTATATTATCTTGTATATTTGTAATTGAGATGTATGAATATTTGGCATGTGTGACTTATACAAATTTTTTTTATCTATAATGTTGCATAAATACTTTTTTTTTCTCAGTAAGAACTAATTCATATTTGTCGAAATGAAGATTTGTGACAAGTCCATATGTATTGGCCTTGTGAATATATTTTTTATTGATACTATAGCAATGTAAATTTATTGTTCTTTATGTAGTGGATGATATAGGCTATTTTTATCTATAATGTTGCATAAATAAATTATTTTTCCCAGTATGAATTAAAATATTTTTGTCAATAGAAGTATTTTGTATTAACTAACAAATATAACTTCATGAACTACCCATACATATTATCACTACACATGGTGATTATTTTTCATGTTGAACTGTCAGGTTAATTTTTAACCTTTTACATTTTAAAGTTGAACCATGGCAAGATCTGCAGAAGACCCTGCATGGCAACATGGGGTCAGACTTGATCCCAACAAAAAAGACAAAATTATTTGTAATTACTGTCAAAGAGTGATAAGTAGTGGGGTACATAAGTTCAAGCAACACTTGTCAGGGGTTAAGGGAGATGTTTTTTCTTGCAATAGTGTCCCTAATAATGTAAGAAAGCAGATGACGATATTTCTCAAGGCTATCAAAGGAAAAAAAATTGCGAAGCAGAGGATGGATGAGGAGATAGCTAGTTTTTATGAAATTGTAAATGGCATTTTTCTATTTATATATTTTCTAAGTTACTACTTCAACTCAAAATTTTTCTATTTGACACCTAACATCCCTACAAGATCATGGAAGGAGTCAGATACATTATTGTAAGATTGGAGAGAAGCCATCGAAACCAAGTAGCAGCAATACAAGCAGTATTATTTAATGTTTGGGTAAGAACTTTATTGAGTTGTTATATGTGTGAGGAATAATATAGTAAAACGGAATATATTTGTTTTAGCTTGCTATGTATAGGGATGCTATAGGATCTTTCGGAACTAGACTTATCAGGAATTCTCGAACT